AAGTTCAGCTAAAAAGAACAGGCTTCATGAAATTTGTTTGATATTATAGGGTGGATGGGGCAAGCCTGGAACATTGCTCATGTGTGGCCTTACTAATTGGGAAATGGCTGGTCGCAAGGCACCGCCTAAAGGAGTAAAAGCAAATGTAGGACGTAGCCTGTGGACGCCGCATACTTTTAAGAACTTGAATGACGCAAAAGTACGACTAATCGCGTCTGGTCCTGCTGCATCCCACAGCATTATTGTCACTGAGGATAATAGATGTTTGGCTTTTGGTAGAAATGATAAAGGTAAGAGATAACGTATCTTTGTATATGATAACTGTATATCATATTGTTATTTTCTTTTTCCTCATTGAAATATATGCATTCCCAAAGTGGCTATTATTCATTTTGGACTTCAATCACAAACATCTTGCAATCAACTTCTTATAAAATCAAAGCATATATAAAACAAGGGTCAGGATCAAGTTCAGAATCCACTGACAAATCAACCACTTTCATTCAAAGTCATTCATGATGTCTCTTGTCATAGTTACTATTTTACTTACTATTGAAGATTAACACTTGCAAGTCTATATAGATTTCACACTGGCACAAGATGAGTTTCAATAAAACTTTGTAATCAATAAAATCCTAGAAACATTAAAATTTGACCAATAAATAATATGACCAAATATATAATAGCATCTAATTGTATTTAAATTTGTATATATTACATCGCTGGTTTTATTCTATCGATAGTATTGCTGAGACCGAACAATTTGCGTAGGTCAATTGGGTGTCGGAGACACAAAGCGTCGCGATGAGCCTACCGAGGTCGAAGCTTTAAAGGGACACACAGTTATAGGAGCATCATGCGGACGCAACCATACTTTATTTTTAACCAGCCGTGGGATAGTTTTCGCCGCTGGCGACAATAAATTGGGCCAATGTGGGATCGGGAAAAACGATCCCTGTGTTGTAACTGCCACCAAAGTAAAGTATTCCGGACCACCGATAGTGAAAGTAGGATGCGGTGCAGAGTTCTCAATGATTCTGGATATCAAGGGTGGTCTGCACTCGTTCGGATGCCCAGAGTATGGTGCTCTAGGCCATAACACTGACGGCAAATATTTCATCACGAATACGAAAATGGCATTTCATTATGAGAAAGCACCTAAGCGAATCGTTTTATACGTCGAAAGAGGTAAGGATGGCCACGCGATGCCGTTGGATCGCGTTGAGATCACTGATTTCAGCTGTGGTCACTATCACACGGTCGCAATTGACAGCAAGAATCGTGCGTTCTCCTGGGGATTCGGTGGGATTGGCCGTCTGGGCCACAATGAGCAACGCGACGAGTTGGTACCGCGTTTAATAAAATTTCTGGAACCACCCAGTCGCGGTGTCCGTGCGGTGCACTGCGGCAGCACGTATAGCATCGCGATCAACATACATGGTTCCGCCCTGATGTTTGGTCAGACTAAGCGTACCGGCGAGGCCAATATGTATCCCAAACCTATCCAAGATCTATCCGGTTGGGAGATTCGATGCGTCGGTTGTTCGCAGACCAGCGTAGTAGTCGCGGCCGACGACTCCGTTATCGCCTGGGGTGCCAGTCCTACATTTGGAGAATTGGTACGATATTGATATTTTTTAAGGATATATTTAGAATATCTCAATTTTGTTCTTTGATAAAGTTACAATTTAAATCGAACCTTCCATATGAAAACACTGCAATCCTACATGGAGTTTATCTTCTTCATTAATTTCGTTGTAATTTGTAATATTTATGGAAAGGGATTGCTTATCCAACCTCCATTTTAAATCAGATCTTATTTTAAATTTAAAACCTTTATTATTTACTTATTGTTATTTGGAAGTTTCTGACCTCTGAGGGAAATCCCAATATTGTAATTAGTTCATCCTTTTGAAAAATTCGTGTCTATATTGTTTTTATCAATAAAATGTTTTCTTAATATATATTAGATGTAATAAAAAGAAATCCATTATTTTTCCGATAGATGGCTTTAGTAATCTGTATCACGCGTAGACGAAATACAGATTACTAAAGCCATCTATTGGAAAAATAATGGATTTCTTTTTACTACACCTAATATTAATATAAATCATATGCAAGATAACAATTTCATAAATCAAAATCAAATCTTTTGCTAAGAAACTGCTCTAACATCCAACTTTTCAGCATGCAAAACCATAGTCACATAAATCACATTAATTAAATGATTTCCAAGATGATAATTTTTCTCCTAGGGTTTTGGTGAAATGCGAAAGTCGTCGACGACTCCGATGGAGGTGAAAGCCTTGGAAGGTTTATATATTACTGCCGTTACATGTGGTCTATCTCACACGCTTATGATCTGCCGAGATGATACTGAAGAAGAAAGAACCAAGATTAATAAGCTCCAAGTTTATTCTGTTTAAAGTATATTCTTCGACTGCGTAAACGGGTCTCTATTGAGTCACTCTACAGATGATCGAATCGGAAGGAAAATTCTCGTTCCTTCAACGAATCACAGCTACATTTTGATGAATTTTATAACAAGATATTCGAGACCGATAACAGTAGATCGCCACGAAAATTTTCGCAATAATTAACAAGATATCAATTACTAAAAATCAAATATTGGTTTTCAATAATTTTTTACTCGAGTATATATTACTATCAAATTTACAGAAAAATAGCAAGAGATAAAAATTATTTATTTTCTTCTCATAGAGTTCTAAGAATTTTTTCAGAATTTTTTATTAACTTTTTAGTACTACATTTTCTTATATTGACAACTATTTTTACCAACATGAAAAAATCCTAAAAAATTTTGAAAAAATTCTCAGAATTCTCTAAAATTAGTAGTACTTGAGTAAAAAATTATTGAAAACCAATTTTTGACGATTTTTAATTTATTTTGTTAAATTGTGAAAATTATAAAATGGTAGAGGACTTTTCAACTTAGTTTAATCCGCTCTATTCCTATACAAGAGTTTTATCAAACACCCTGTATACTTTGTACTTCCAGTTTTTACTTAACGCGCGAAAAGTCGATCTGTGTAACATTTTGAAACTCATTCTGTTAGCAGCTCAGGATAATAGACCAAACAAGATAGATACAAAAATATATTTTGATACGTTGCTATTTTATTGAAGTTTGCCGTAATTTTCATCGGAATGGAGATAGTTATTTCATATGAAGAAGTTAAACTGGAAAGTGAATTCATAGAGCTCAACAGTAACTGCCTTTATTTTTATCGCTTTCTTAATAAATTTATCTATTCAAATAGTTTATATAATTGATTCATCACAGTAGTACCTGAATCATTACATCTGCAGGAATCGTTTTTTACAATGCAAATACAGGGATAATCCCTGAATAGGATTAACGCGAGTAAGCCATCATTCAACTAGATAATATTTTACGGTTGTATGTGAATTAAATTTCGATACGTTTGATTAATTTCATAGGAAGATAATTTAATTTTTTTTTTAATGTAAAATGTCACGTATATTGAAAATATATATATTTAATTTTATTTTTAATAATTTTTACGCATATGTAAAATTAACGATTATATATTTTAAAGTGATAAAAAAGAGCTGTGGAAGTCGTAAATTTGTTTTATTGCTAGATTAGAGAGAGAATCCCAAATTCACAGGCGACTGACTATACACATATTTCGTATTTTAAGGTCTTTCTTTCAAGATAAATCATATAACACCTTTCTCTCATATATGCGTTGTACGAGATTACTATCATAGATGCATTAAAAATGTTTGATCGAGATACACAATAAAATAGAATAAATCAGAAAATGCGTTTAGTATCTCACATATATTAATGAATTTACAATTCTGATCACTGCCAGAATGTATTATGAACATCTTTCATTGTGATGTCAGACATTCATTCCATTCCGTTCCATGTAATACTCTCGTGCAATTTTTGCACTGAAATATTCTTCTGATAAACTTGCGATGAATGTACAAGTCCAAATATGAAATAAACGAATTTTTTAAGAAATTGTTTCCAAAACCTTTGTCTTACTTAGCAACTTTCAAGAGGGAAAATATTCGTTTTAATTTTTACATTTTATTCTTTTTCATTATTCAACGTATCGCTTCTTTTTGCAAATTTCATTTTTGTTTGCTGTAAAAGCCGATCATATATTGGCATTTTCAATAACATTGGTACATTTCCAATAATGTTCTTTAATGCGATATAATTTCTGTTGTTCTGAACATATGACATAAGCAATATCTTTCACAGCTTTATTTGAGCATCTAATGACGTTTTCTTCTTCACGTTTACGTTCTTGCTATTTGACAAAATTATATATTTTATAAACTATATAAATTAAAAAAATGATATTTCCTGTATTAGCCAATTTTATTTCAATTTTACTTATATATTAAATGTTATATATTAAAATATAAAATGTTATCTAAAAAATACTAAATGTATGTTTTTACCATAAGCTCTTGATTCATCGTACTGGAAGCGATAATTTGTTGAAAATTATGAATTTCCTTTTTTGGGACATTTCCATACTTCCAACGTAGCAGTTGGTGGGCTATGTAATGTATAGGATCTGATGGACAGTATCTCAAAGCTCTGCCTATCGCCCATGATAGTGGCACCAACACATTTTGTCTATATATACATTTATATATGCATTATATAATTTATTACATTACCATGCTTATTTCATACAAATTCATTAATAATTGTAAAAGCTATAAAATACTTCAAATAATCATTTCTTGTCAGGGTTTTACTGGCTTGTTTTTTCGGCAATAAATTCAAATAACGAGGGCATGAGGTAAGATTACACTGCATGCTTGTAAAAATATTTGAAAAAATCATTTCATCTAAATTATAAAAACAAGATGTCTTCAATGAATCAGATATTGTGTCAAAGGTTTTTTTTTTCAGTAATGTAGAGTATGATTCCAATATTGTTAAATTGCAGTCACATAATATTTCCTATTAATTATTTCTCCTATTAATTATTTCCTATTAATTATTTAAAATAGATTCATTTTTCTATGCGCTTTATCTAATATTCCTTGAAATTAATTATAAGACACCTCGGTTACTTTCAAAGCTTCCTTTTTCTTATATTCATTGTATCCAAGATCAATTAGAATATCTTCTGCTTCATCATCAATACCATTTTCTTTTACATAATTACAAGTGTTTTCATCGATCCCAAGCTTTCTCAGAAAACGGATTGTTGTTGGTGAAATTGGCTTAACTTTTCCCTGCCAGTTTATAATTCCTGGAACATCAATGCCACTCGATAAAAGCCGATACAATATACTTTTATCTTGAGACACCAGTCCACATGTAACAATAGCCCAACATTGATCTTCAGTTAATCCAGTAGCAGCCAAATTCCAAATAAATTTATCATCAAGTTTTTTCATCCATGTATCTTCACTTATTTTTGCTCCAAAATCTTCGAAATATTTCAGTTCCTCAGAAGTAAGTCCAAGGAGACCATATTTCATTGCCTTCACAATACTTTGTGGTGACATGCCTAAAATTTACTATTTAATGTAATAGAACGATAAATAACGAAATGCATAGAAATTCTCATGAGAAAATCTTGCTACCTTTTTCTTCTAGTTTCAGTAAAATACATTCATTATACATTCCACTGTGTATAATAAAATGTAAGGATTTATTGTATTGCGCATCAGTACATAAGGATTTAATATTACGTCGCATAAGTTTATCCTTTAGTAAATTGAGTAATCTCTCGTTACTCCATCCACCGTAGATAAACATTCCTTTATTTGTCAATTTTATATATAACTTTGTCTCACATAACGCCTCCTCTTCTGTTATATTTTGCATATCTGACATTTTCAAATAGATATAAATCATACAAATTAAGAAAGTACCTAAATGCTAAGTCATTTTACGGAAACATTATAAATGTCAAAACGCAAGCTAATTATTTTGGCAATTGTTATGGATTGGTTATCGTTCGTCATGATCGTTCATCGCGTGTGTGTATGTGTGATATCTTTTTTTATATTAAAATATTATTACATATACACAAAATTTTTTTTATTTACAAATAAATAACTATATATAATTTATATAGAGCTTCTCAGAAATTCGCAATCTTTCACGAAATGCATTGTATGGATTCTCTTTGGTAAAAGAAGCAACTTTTTTCTCTAACAAAAAATTATATTTAAATTATATTTAAAGTTTTTAATAACAATTTAAATCTCTAAAATAAACGCTCTAAATTACGCTTATGAATAAGTGATAATGCACGTTGAACGTATATACACTGTTTTACTTAGAAATATTTCATAATGATTGATGCATTTAAATATTACTATTACGATTTGTATATAATAAGAGAAAATTTTTTAATTGTGATATCATTGAAAGTAAAATAAATCTTTAAACAAAAAATTTCTTAAAATTATAAGTGTTAAATATAAATGTTTAGTACAGCCGTCCCTCTTCGATTTTCCTGTAATTTTGTAAATTTGTTTACTTTCATGCGTAGAATATATTCCAAGACGAAATATCGTCGCTCAAGTTCGTTTTCTTAGTATTTAATTTCAAAGTTTTTTTATGTCGGTAAGTTGAAAAATAATAATTTAATGATATTTTACAACTGCGCACGCTCACTAATGTTGTCATTTATGAATATCAGTTCAGATATAAATTAAGTATAAAATGGGATTCGAACAACTTAATAATAGTAAAAAAACAACTTAATTATATTAGAAAATTACAACTTAATTATATATATAAGAAAATTCGTATTTTTAATTAATTAAAACAGAGAATATGCAGGTATACAATTTGAAACAAACTATCCGCTGCTACAATTTAAATTGATTTGTGATTCAAAATGTATGTCTGCATATTCTCCATTTCTTTAAATGCTGCCAAAAATTTGCCGAAGATATACGCATGCTTAAAATAAGGCCCACGCCAGTCCATGCATTCAATCACAGACAGATGTACATTTTGAATCAATTACAGAGAGGTATATAACATCTTAAATCGATCCAGATTAGATTAATGACAAAAAAATTCTACTATTGATAGAGCATGTAACGTCCAATAGCAAAACATTAATCTAACCCAGGTTAGTTTAAAACCCGCTACAATCGAAAAAATTCTATTAATTCATAAATAACAACATTAATGCGCAGTTGTAAAATGTTATTAAATTATCATTTTTCAACTTACCAATATCAAATTTTTAAATTAAATGATAACAAAATGAGATTTGAGCGACGCTTTTCCTTTTCAGAATTTATTCTACGCATGAAAATACACAAATTTACAAAATTATAAGAAAATCGAAAAGGGAGGCATTCAATTGAACATTTACTTAAATATGAATTTACAACACTAAAATAAATCATATTCAGATATAAACACTCAGACAACAAGCTATTTACACTATCGTCATTTTGACATCGAAATGACGATAGTGTCATTTTGCTACTTGAGATATGTATATAAAAGGAAGGTATTGCGAGCTTGTATTGCAAGCATGTATTTCAAAAAACATTTAATTCAGATTCATCTTTAAAGAGCACAAAAAATATTTTGGATCTAATCTATTTATCCCTAATCTTAATATTCTAATTGAATTATTAAAAAATATGTGAACTTATTTTACTTTCAACTGTTACTTCAGAAATATCAATTAAAAGACTTCTGATACCTATTTCTTATTAAGTTATATTCTAAATGTGATATATTTAGATATTATGTATAGGTATTTTTAAATCTTTAGAGAAAAAGTAACCATACACTATCTCTAATTTCGTAATTTAGAGCGCTTCAAATTTCGTTAACTTTAAATTATTCATTCAAACATTATTACTAGAATACAATTTTCAAAGAATGAAATTGTTTCTGAGCAAAGAATTGCATTCCGTATATAATATATACGAATATTCTGGGATATACTATATACCATTATCATATATAATTGTATTAAGATCTCTATATAAAATATATACTCACCACTTTCTCGACGCGTATATATTTCTGATAAGAGATACATATTATGGAACCTACAAATTAGCACACACAATCGACAAAGTAATGAAACAACATCCTTAGATATATTTTTACATTATAATACATATTTTTCAAATATAACAATGATATGCGTCAAGCGCACATATATGTGCAAAATATAAAACGTCAAACACAATCGAAAAGACTATAAAAATGTTCGAATTCACTTGTACAAAAACGTGATCAACATACACTGCCACCGACTAGGTCCATACAAATGTCTTGAGTGTGTCTACAAGTACTTCTTTAGTATTTGTAAATCATGTATTTACACGAACACAAAATTTTGCTCGACATCATAGATTTCTAAGCCAGATTCAACTTAGTCTCTAACGATAGTTCGTACGTTTAGATGTGTATACTTGATAGAAGCAAATATGTACATGCCTATCTTCTGATAAGTTTCGCACAAACTGAATATATAGCTTGTATGAAGTGATGACCTATTAAGCTTGATCTTTCCCGAATTACACTCAATGTGTATCCCTCGAAATTTACTTTTCGTGCAAGACTTCCAAACTTAACACATTGTATACACTATTGTTATCAGCACACATACTTTTCACAATCGATTACAGCAAACTGCAATAACAGTTTGAATACGCATCTTGCTGTGGCTGATCGTTACTCAACTGCATTCCTCTCTTTCCCATTCGATGCCTTGCACCACTTATAGTACCGTTGTCATACAGTCGTGTAGAATAAGTATCCCAAAGACCAGGTGTTTGTATAATCTGTTACATATACAATGTCACTTTACATAGCTTTATAAATAAGAGTAAATATTTTGAATCGCTTCCTTGCTTCAAATCTTAAAAATATACTTATTCGACGTGTATTTACTCAAAATAAAAAATTTGACAGAAAAATGTGATAATTCACCTTGCAAAATTCAAACTTTAACTCTTAATAACCGTTTCACGAAACAAATCACTGCGTTTTTCTATTACATTCTTTCGTTTTGAGTGAATACACGTCGAATGAGTATATTTTTATTAAGATTTGAGACAAAAAAGCGATTCTAAATAATTACTTAAATAAGTAAAATATGTTATAAATGATAAGTTGTAATAATAATTAATTATAAATGATCCACTGGTGCTAGATGGAAAGAAGAAGGTAACGTGTATCTTCACGCAAATCATTTTTGAATATCATGATTATCAGATCTTAACAAAGATTTAAATTATATATAGTGTTTTTTTTTGTAAGTAGATTCTGCAATGCTTGTTTTTAATGTCACTGACATTGTAATGCAATCTATTAAATCTTTTACATCATATATACTAAATTTTGTAGTTCTATAAAAATAACAGAACATTTTTAATTACCTAGTAATTGTAATCTTCACTGAATCGTATTATATATAAAATTATAACAGTTATTAGTTAAATTCTGATATACCTTTTGTACAAGTTCCTCAAAGCAACATTTTACACCATCTGCCGTTTTTGCGCTGCTCTCAATATACAGAGTCTGGTGCCTTCTAGCAAATTGTAGACCTTCTTCGGTGCTCACCTCTCTGTTTGACAGGTCTATTTTATTGCCTACTACCATCTTGATGATATCCGTTTTATTACAGTATGTATTCAACTCATTGAGCCATGTCTCCAATTTTACGAAGGTATTTCGATCCGTAACATCATACATTAAGATAGCACCTTGACCGTCTCTGTAATAACTTGGTGTTAATGTGCGAAATCGTTCCTGACCGGCGGTGTCCTGTAAATAGCGCATTTTGATAAATCATAATACACTCCATAGATTAAGTTATCTTCTTGTCACAAAAATATAATTGTGATTACAAACCCAAATAGCAAGTTTCACCACATTGTCGTCGATGATAACCTGCTTTGTCTTGTAGTCCATCCCGACTGTGCTCTGCATGTTTTCATAGAACTCATCCTCAGTGAATCTTAGAAGTATGCTGGAAATGTATGACGTAGTACCACCGAGTATAGTTTCGGTGCAAGAATATACATTGGATTCGCCTATCATAAGAATTTTCAGTATCGTCAAATAATCTTCCTGATCCATAATAATCTGCTGACCACACCTAATCACTGCACTCACAATATCAAGTCGATATATCAATCAGTTAACGATGACACTGAAAACAAACACCAATATCTCTCTTTCCTCTTAACGTCACGAAATTGCCTGTGAAGTGTGATGGGAATTCCAACAATGTTGCCAACTTAATGAGGGCCACTTCAATCAACTTCGATTAATTTTAAGCTGTGTTCCAAAATTCACTGTCAGTACTGAAAATTTATAGTATTGTATAAGTTAGGGGCTCCGCACAATAAAAGGAACAGGGAACAGAAAATAGAGAATAAGAATTTCAACCTATCAGAAACTGTGTTCTACAATACATGATTTCTGATAGGTTGAAATTTTTATTCTCTGTTCTCAGTTCCCTGTTCTTTTTATTGTGCGGAGCCCCTCAGAGTGAAATCACACGATGCGGAAAAGAGTTGCGGAAGAGAATACGTCATTGAAACAACCAATTAGCGCTATTCGAAATAATGCAGAAGAATGCTGGTTGTTTCTATGACGCATTTTCTACAATATTTCGCAGTCGTTTTCCGCACCGTGTGATTTCACCCTTAGGGTGCGATTCCATGGTGCGGAATTGGAGCAATCCGGAAGTGGCGAAACGCTTGTGATTGGCTTCATTCCGTCGATTCCGCTAAAATATTGGGTCATCTAAAAAGTATCCGCGGTTTTTTGTCACTAGATATGTGTTGATGGTCATATATCTAGTGACAAAGTATCGCGGATACTTTTTAGATGACCCTATGTTATGATGAATATGTTTTTCTATGTCCCATGGCACGGAATTTTCGAAATGCGCAATTAGCGTTGACCAATCACAAAGGGATCGGTTCTGTATCTTGAAACGAGGTGAAAATTACAAAAATAAATTTACTAGAATACTGATAATTTAATTGGTCAACCTAGCAAATTTGCTCGCTTTTGTAATTTTCACCTTGTTTAATATAGAATCGAGTCTAAGAGCCTTCCCATAGATCAGTTTCATTAGATTCACCGGAATAGCGTTTATCATTGGCTTGCATTGGATTGCACATCTACAAGTTCCGCTCCATGGGACATGGAAAACTAAATTCCTGCGGATCGGAAATTATATATACAT